GAACAGTGGCAGAGTGCCACTTAATCTGGAGTGGGCCCTATAAGCATGACAAAGTGGCAGCTATTCTGCAGATTGATCAGTCATTTCAGATTCATCGTAGTTATGGAAGCATGATTGAAGGCGAGGCTGATGAACTCAAGGTATTGCTATTGTCTTGCTACTAAGCTATATGTGAGCTCACAATTGATTAAATATCTCATGCTTGAGGAGAAAAGAGGACATTGACAAGATTTAATAGAATAGGCAAAAGATGGTGAAAGCTTTGGCGTATGGTATTTGCTAATTATCTTTGCATATGTAATCAGATCTCAATTCAAATATTAAGGTTAAGCATCTTGTCTCCTTCTGGAAAAAGGAACACTCCTTGTAGCATTAATTTTTATACCAGGTGTTGTTTGCCTAATAAGAACACTTGTCCAAGTATCAGTACAAGGATTACTCTCTTCTCCTCCTTGCCTCCTGTAACACCTCTCTAATATAAGAGCTGCCTTGAAATGAATCTCTCCTCATATTTTCGAACCTAAGGACCACCATTGCTTTTCAGGGAAAAAATGGTTTTAACAAGTGGAACTTAGTTTAAGGGTGTCATATTTCTGTATTATAGTTGAATTGTTGCTCTAGTGCACATGGATGACTGGAGTTCCCCAAATGGATCTCTTCTTAAATTTTTGTTTTCTCCTAGTAGTGACTCGAGTGGATAAATAGCTAGTTGTTGTTGGATATTGGCTTCTTTTACTGCTTACATTATCTGTTGTTGAAGTCAAAGGATTATGATTCTTTATTTCCCCAAGTGCTGATTTAAATGCAAACTTTTCAGAGGGTGTTTTTGGAAGGAAATCCCTACCTCCTGGGCATCACGATGGTTGTTTCATTACTTCATTCCGTGTTCGACTTTTTGGCATTCAAAAATGGTTAGTATTACAGGAGAATAACACTGGTGAACAGCATTTCAAGATTCCATAATGTAGTTATTAATGTAATTCTTTCCTGCAGACATCCAATTTTGGAACAAAAATAAATCAATGGAAGGATTATCTGCAAAGTCTGTTGTTGTAAGCTTTATAAGTCAACTGATTGTCTTCCTCTATCTGCTTGACAATGATACTTCGTGGATGATACTCGTAAGCTCTGGAATTGGTTGCTGCATTGAATTTTGGAAAATAGGGAAAGCCATGCACATAGAGGTATGAATTGTCTCACTTTTAGACCTAGCACTTTCCTTGTTATGTTGGAGAAAACCACAATTTAGAGATTGCATTTGTTCTTATATTACATATACACGATCGATCCTCTTAATCTTGTCATCTTCTCATGTTTGCGATATCTATGGTTGACATTTGCTGCATTATTACTAGGCTGGTAGTCTTTGTGGAAATATTGCCAATTTTATGAAAATTTTTCAGATTATTCTGACAATTTTCCTTCTCTTCAGATTGATAGAAGTGGAAAGATACCCATGTTGAGATTCCGAGATCGCGAGTCATATGCAAGGAACAAGACTAAGGAATATGATGATATTGCAATGAAATACTTGTCCTATGTGCTCTTCTTCCTTGTTGCATGCTCTTCTGCTTATTCACTCATGTATGAACGCCATAGGAGCTGGTATTCATGGATACTCTCTTCGCTCACAAGCTGTGTTTACATGTTTGGTAAGCCATATCTTTGTTTAATTGTTTAGTTTTGTGATTTTTGCTTCTGTTTCTGTTAGTTTCTGCATCTACTTATAAGCCTTCCATCAAATTGCAAATGTTAGTGTGTAAAAGGTTGTGTAGTAAAGATGAAATTTATTGTTTTCAAAAAACAAAGATGAAGCTTTTTCTTTCTTTTTTTTTTGTTTGGATAAAAGGAGAAGCTTAAAGGAAGAGATGGAAAAAATTGAAAAAATGGAGAATAAGACATCCACCTGAAAGCATAAACAAAAAGAAAAAAGCTAAAAAATACTGCACAAAATCTCTAGTCCCTCTGGATTATTGCATCCCAATTGAAGCTCTAGGAGGATAATGTTAGGGAAATGACCATGTGCTTTTGCCCAAAGGAATGCCATGAAAGTCCTCTCTTAGGTCATAAAATGGTGCAGATCGTTCATGAAAAACCAACCAGTTCCTTGCTAGGCAAATGCACCAAAGACCTGCAAAAGCAGCACCTTGCCACAGAGCCTTAACCTCTTTTCTTATCCCACTCCCAGGATAAAAGAATTTGTGAACCTGTCTACCATAGGAGGAACCACGCAGCTTAGGCTAAATTTATTCATAAGATCTGCCACAACTTCCTGGCCATGCTGCAGTGTGGGAACAAGTGAGATGGGTCTTACTTTTTCTGAAGCACATAACACATATAGCAGATATCTAGCACGGTGAGGGCAAAAAATTTGAAGTAAGTTGTTGGTGTTGAGTCTTTGATTGATAGCAGTCCGTGAATATACCTTTATCTTAGAAGGAACTGTAGCTTCCCAAAATATATTGGCTATGTGGAATTATGTACATCGGGATTGTTAACGAGTTGATTGAAGAAAAACTTATATGACACTAACCCTGAGGAAATTTGGTGGTAAGTGGTTGATCCTCTACCCATATATCTTCCTAAAACCACACTCTAGTTCCATCTTCCATTTGTTGGGGTAAAAAAAGGGTGGGTTTGGGAGATGGATTTCCAAGGGACTTGGTGAGCAATGGATCTTCTAGTGAGGGCATCCTATTTGTCCCTTTCACTTCTGTCAATACTGTTTATCACCCTGCGTGATGAAGAGTTTGGTTCACGAGAAGAACATTAGTCATTTTGCTAGTAGAGATAAATTCTTTGTTCTGAGACTTCCAGTGGCCGATCCTCCATGAACATTTGGACTCATAACATACCTCTCACCACACTGGATGACCTCAACCTTCCTCACCCACTCCAGTCCAAAGAAATCTTCTCATTCTACCTCTATCTCTCAGCTTCTGCTGCTGC